TATAGTGCAGGAGTTTTTCTTACCAATCAGTTAACACTGATGGCGGTGTGGCTTTTTAGACACCTTGACGAGTAAACTGCTATTAGTGGAACATCATTGAGGTGTGCTCAAATTGCAGGTTAGTCTTCTCGTGGTTGCAGAAGCCCAATCAAATTGGAAACAAGGCGCACTTTGTGGTGGCAATTGAGGTAGAATTATCATAAAAAAGCATTGAATGCTTAATGCAGAGACGTTTAACGATAATCTGCTCTACATGCTCGGATTAATACAGTCAATACAAATAGCTCTGCTCAAAGACACACGTAAGTAAATGTCAGGTTTATTGCTAAGAAGCTGGAAAAGTCAGTAGAAATGCGCAAGCGAACAAAGGTCCTGATATGACCACTTTAGTCCACTAGGCGAATTAACCTAATCCCGCCACCAATGTTGAATTTGGATTGGCCAGTTGTAGAACAATGAGGGTTATGTGAACACGGTGACAAACGTGAGAATTTAGCTCACCATGTTTAAAAGAAGATGCCTAACGGAATGGTATCGGCAATCTGTTTATGAAATTAATGACGGGGAGAAGGTCTCTGATTTTTGCATTGACGATATCATTGCAGCCGTCGTCGCCATCATTGGGGTAATTTAAAAACTTAGCAAGAGAAGAGGTACTCGGACATTTCTTGATGGGAAAATTACAGGATATTTCACCTGTCCCATTATCTAGTCGTTGCTGTACCACTACCAACCGACCATTCCCACGTTTGCGCTGTTGCAATTTCACCCATACTGCACCAGTCAGCCACGAACTTGATTACACACTCATTTGACATGCGCGACTTGGTTGAGACATCTAATAACTGATGGTGCATCACTGTCTATGGATTTTGCTGTTTGTGCGGGTATCAGAGTAGCTTAATTGGGCTGCATTCAACGCCGTGGTCCTACCGTGGTTGAGTCTACATCCTGGGGCCCCTAACCCATCCACTTCTGTTTGTCTTCTCATTGCAATTGCATCCTCTGCTGTTCACGACGAGAATTCTAATGATATCCCAAACACAGTTTCTTCTTATCACCAAAATATCCAAGTGTTCTCCAAAGAATCACATAAAATATTGGTTTTGTGCCGCACTGGTAATTGCCATATGGGGTGTGTGACTATGACAAAGCAGCCACGTCGAGTGGCACATTCAAAGCCAACTCAAAGAAATGAAAATGGTTCAGGGTGGTTGTGCATATCACAAGTCATGCACAAGGTATCTTCTAGCATATGCGGTGTTCCACCCAGACTGTACCAGTCAGTGACTAAATTTAATACACACGTAGCTGACATATACAACTTGGTTGAGCTATCTTCTCAATGATAGTGCCTCGTCGTCTCTGTCCTTTAGCTTCTATGCAGGGATCAGAGTAGCGTAATCGATCTAGCTTTAATGTGGCGGTAATTACTATTTGGTGGGTGTAACTACCACAGTTTGATGTGATATCCAACACCGCGCGCAGCGGTTCTCTATACAAACTGACTCACAACTTGAAATGTTGGCTATTCACATCACGTATAAATCGTGGTAAAATGGATTCTCCGTGCAATTGTTCAAGCAGCAAACATGGTCAGGCAAGAGGGCTTGAATTGTCAAGCAAAGAACACACCCTTTCTATTTGGATCTGCCAAGTGGCACTTTAGGATGAACTCAACACGTGTTGCATCTTGGCTGGATTTTACACAGACGAGAAGCCATTGTTATTTATTCCCTCAGCCAGTAAAGCACGAAAGGACAATATGGAGAAATTAATATTAATAAACAATAGAAAATTGAAAATTAGATTATCTTAATGAGTGTCTAAGACAGCATTGCAAGATGCTGAACAGAAGACATTAAACTGTCAATCGCTCAAACATTTCGAGAATCGGCCTCTCTGATTCTCTGAATTGACCGCTTATGTGCTTGCAGCATGATGATGCAGCGCCTGCTTGCAACAGTCGATTCTTTGTCTTAGAAATGATTTACTGATCGCAGTTTTATTCGATAATTCTCTCACCCTGTGTAATATGTTTCACGGATGAACCACATGCTAGCCCAATTTTGCTAGCGACAAAAGTTTGGCTTTTCACTTAACAGACCTTTAAATTTGGAGATTTGGTGACCACAATTGTCGCAATACCTAATGCTTAAAAAATGCGGCAATGTAGACAAGTGAATATATTTTAACACATTTCAACGCACACCTGGATATTGACTAGAGCATGGAGTTAACGATTGATCTCTGGTTTCCATGACATTCGCTGTGAGATTTACGCGACTTAAACTGTGCAGCCACGCCTTGGGTCACTTGTTCATCTGTGACGAAGGAATGCAGTAGTCGATGTGGTGTAGCATTAAGGGTCATTGAGTGAAGGGCATCACTACTGATGTTTCGCATTGAGCAGCAAAGATTAAGCTTCTTCTACTGGCTCACATGCGAGATTCCTCGTAAGTGATTGATTCAACTCAAATCATCAAGGTGAACGACTACGCCAACTGACACCAGGGTCATGGCCAGGATTGTGAATCATGCAATTTTTCTGAGCGACTAGCGGATGCCATCAATCGAAACGTGAGCAGGCATTCACCACAGACTGCGTCCACTTGCAAATGTATAGGATGTCTCCTACGAATATACAAAATAAAACAATGAAGCATTCAGAAGACTAAGAGAATGTTTGGAGTTATGTATGAAATGATTTTGCGGAACTAGTGACAAATGCAATAATTTGGTTGGTCGTTGGTTATTGCTTGACTGTGCAGCAATGCAAAGCCCCAAAATCCATCAGTATTGCTTCTTCCTTCACCACGTTATATGTTATCCAATCATTAACAAAGACACAAGGCGATGTTTCTGCAACTCCTAAAGAGCGCAAGATCATTTCTTACTAAACAGCCCTTACTTCAGGATACTTACGGCCTCAAGATTATGGCAACTGACAATTTAGACTATCGTACGTTAACTAGGCTACCCAGAATGTGTCTGTCATGCAGTCGCTTTAAAACTCAAACATGACAACTCAAATTGGTTAAGCTATCTAGCAAAGGCTTGTGACACTCCCTTGTCAATCCTCCTCGTCTCTTCGGATATCTGGTTAGCGTAATCAGGCTAAATCTAACGCAGCCGCGCAGACGCTGTTTACGACTACATGACAGGACCCTTAACTAGGATTACTCGTGACAGATTTTGTCAGGCATCACAGAGGAATTCCACTGGAAAAAATGGGGCAAGGGCGTTCTGTGTTTCGCAAATCACTGGGTTTAGAGGAAATATAGGTTTGAATTGGCTCCGCTGGCACCATCGGTTGACCACTGCTTTATGGTCTTTGAGCCAGCGGTGTCTAGATTCATGCATATTCATGTTACAATCCAAGGCGACGCAGAACACGTGGTACAAACATTGAGTGTTAGCCAGATATTGGTAGTGCAATTTTACGCAGTTTGTTCTAGTGTGAATGCAGCGTTTTTACAACAGTGCCAAACGGTCAAAAAACATACCGACGCAGAATATCAAGCGATATGTTGAACTTTGGGTCATTTTTAAATCAGAAGACTTCACTCCTGAATGCAAATACACAAGCATGTGAATACATAATAGCACTAAAATGAGTAGGTGTGTATAAATGGATACATCTTGATGGATAGTGTCAAGTGGTATCTGACCTATCAAGCCCATACGCTGGCATGTTAGCCAACAGTTACACTTACAAAACTCGCCTAAGTGAATTGCGCCGCATAAATTTGCAGAATACTTCATATTGCCCACTTCAACTTCGATAAACAGGATACAAATGCAGCCTTTAGTGCATTGAAAAAAATGGCGAAATTGAACGACAGTAGGATTGCCGTTGGCGAATCAACAATCCCGCACGATGGTTCGACTTACACACTGCATCTTTGTCGTCGCTAATTCGCTTCGACATGATGCAGTCGAGAATAAGGCGAGATAATTTCACGTCACCACGGCATTCAGCAACTGGAACTTGGAGTTAGACACTGGTCGCTGCAATTATAAAATCAGTGTTTTAAGGAAGTGTTGGTGCCAGAATTTTATATTCAAACAAACTGGTTTCATATGAGCCCTGAATCAATTGGACGTGAATGTTGATGAGTATGCTCTGAATGTTTGTGTGCGTGGTGTGGCACGGCATGCACGACTTTATTAATGAATAAAGCAGCTCTCATCAAGTTGGAGAAAGACGCTGGATAGCAGTAATGCGTTTCTCT